ATTATCCCTATATTGACAAAGCTTCTACTGGAAATCAATTGAAATTTTGATTTATTTAGGACTGCCTTATGGCAGATATCATCCATGTATGAATCTTCCCAGTTATCAAGACGGTAGTTTTATTTTTAGCTGAAATAATCCCATCTGATCTGCTCTGCAAGACAATGATAAATGGCAAAATACTCAATGCAGGAAGATAAAATTATTATTTTCTTCTATGCTTCATTTTGGGCTGTACAGTTCATTTTGGGTTGGGGAGTGAAACAAATGTTGTGGAGAGCAAAGAAACAGTGCAAATATATTTATGTATTTCTAATTTTGTCTTTGGGTATTAAATTGCTCTGGATTAAGTTGCATAAAGATAAGTAAAGCAACTGGACACAGTTGAGTGCAAAGTGATGCATGAAACCGGGACTTTTCCCCTTTAGTATGTGAAAATTCATATCAGCAAGAAACAGTCTAACTTGGATGTAGTTGGAGAACTGCTTGCATTTTGATACCCACTTTCTTTTAAAATCAGTCATTCTTCAGTGCAGACACAAGATTCCTCGCTTACTGAAGCTAAGAAGTGACAAGCTGACACAGGGTTACAGTGACCCTCCTTCCTCGCTGACTTCTGAGTACTGATGTGACCCCTGTACCAAAGAGAAGCTGTGGCCAAGGCTGTGGCAAAAGCAGTTATTGTGCAGTATTACAGCACCAGACTGTGCTTGGCAAATCCATATTGGAGCCAGGGTTAGATCTGAAATCTGCTAACATCTTGTCACATACCTGGAACGCTGAGCTCCTCATTACTGGTATTTCAGCACATGATTGAAATGTGGCCTGCCTGCAAAACTCGCCATCCTCTTCAGCAACCACTTGTCCAGAAAATGGGGCAAGGTGCTTCTTTTTAAGGAAAGGGCCAGTCATTGCTTTTCTACTGGTAATCAGATACAGTAGTCATGACAGGCTCAACAATTCTCATAGAAGTAAATACTTATGGTAATAATTTCTTTAAGCATCTTTCACTCTAAAAACCTAATTTGTGACTTTCTACCAACTATGTGCCAGGGAACCCTCCTGTATAAAAAAAGCCTTTGGTGTTAAAAGTAGATTAGGGTCTTTTTATAAATAACCTACTTTTGAAACAGCCCTCCAGCATCAGATAGAGAATGATCAGAGAATAATTTCTCTGTTTGCCTTTCTTTTTTAGGTAAAAAAATTAAGGCTTTCGGTATTTAGGCAGCTGTTCAACAGCTACTTTTATCAAGCAGAGAATAACAGTATTTCTGTGAAAGAAAGAGGGAAATGCTCAGTTCTAGAATGAAGCTCCTACTTGGAACTAGTTTTGTGGTTTTTGGGTGTGTTTTTTTTTTTTAAATCCACATTCTCTGGGAGGTAGGGGTTTTACTGGGATTTGGAGCAAGAATAAATATGTAAACAAGTCAGATTAGTCTCAGGAGTTGAGAATGTTGTAAGTAATGTTACAGACTAAGGCAGTGTAAAAATGTGGCTGAAGATCATGCAGATTTTGACTGTTGCTCAATCAGTGAGTCAGCAATTCTGCACTTATATTTTTATCAGTATGTCTCCTTTAAATTAGGCACAAACATATAAACATATTGCAGATTTATTTCTACTTTGGTAGGTGAGGATCTGGAGCCTAATTGTAATTAAAAGTAGCTGTTTATGGCTGGCTTATAGACCGCACAAAGCTGAAATTAGCAGTGGGAAACCCGGCACATTTTCCTCGACTCTGATAGATGCTGCTGTCCTTTGAATGTACAGCCTTGTCGGAAGTGTTGGGAATTATTAATCACTTTGATTCTTTTGGCCGACAAAGGGCAAATTGATAGATCATCATGGAGATGGTAATGCATCTCTGTGGTAGATGAATGGCTAATCCCTAAAGATTCAAGACTTGTTCCCAAGTAACAGAAGCAGCAGGGTGGTAACTTTGCTTTAGGATGAGTTGTAACTTAGATTGTGCTTGGAGCAGTCAAATGTGGAGTATTCCACCCTTACAGTGGTCAAAGGAATGCTGTATGTTGGATAATCATTGCTGGAGCAATAGAGGGATCAACCTGCTGAAATTGACTGGTCCAACTAAAACTGAAGCGGAAGGATAACTACTGTCTCCTCCAGCTTCGTTGAAGCATTCAAAGCTGTCTCACCAGGGCCGATGGGCACAGTGCCTTCCAAGGCTTTGTAATGGCTCTGGTGTTGCTGTGATGCTCCTGGATTGTGATACAGAGCAATGGAAATGAAAATCCATTTATCCTAAACATGCACCTTGCAGTCCATTACACTTTCTAGGTATGTAACTGTCAACAAACATGGAACTAGTCTTTGCAAAGAATGTGGCCATCATGTGTGGACTGATTGAATTCTACACCCACTTGGCAGTCAGTCCTTGCAGATTAGATTATTTTTGGAGTCCTCTGTGATCATGGAGCAGGCAGGATTTGCCTAAGAGGAAATGTCATAAGAATAGGATGGGAAAGAAGAGTGAATTCTGTTGCTTAAAGGCTGGTCCTGGAAGAATAGAAGGGATAATGCACTTTTCAAATTCTGACAAGGTATTAAGGAGAAAAGAAGGGAAAGCATTTTTCAGCTGCCTGCACTAAAGCTGGGTGCCTGAAAAATAAAGCAGTTCTTATGCATAAACATAATTTTGATTAGTTGGCATTACACGGAGATAAGTCATACAACTATAGCAGCCACAGACACGTCAGTGCGTGTAGGAACGGGCCTCACATTCTGGTGATGCCAAGAAAACAGGGAGACCATCTGTTCCAGCATAAAGTACAACATAAATAAGTGTAGATACCTAACCTTGACCAGGTAGTATCCACACAGGTAGCACATGTTGTGCATGATGCACACTAACATTGTTTATGTGAATAATGCACACATGGCCTGACCTGCTTTTACAGGAGAAATATAAGTAACAGATCATAATCAAGAGCTGTTTGTGGAGAGCTTTTCATTGTGATCATGAGGGCTAGTTGGCTTTCCCTCATTTTGATATTTGTGTAAGTGTAACTTCTTCAAACAGAAGCTAATTTTCAGACTACAGTGAAGGGTGTTGATCCAGCTCTGAATTGCAGTCTGCAGTACAGCTCAGCTGCAGCCATAGTGGCAGAGATGGGAAGATCAAAGCTTTGTACATGTCATCCAGGGGTTGGCTTACTGAATCTCCTGCTTTTATGTTTTCTGCGAGGCTATACAATAGAAGCAGAGAATGGAGACTGAAGTAAAATAAATAGGCAGGGGGAAGGGAATGACCAAGAGGCAGGAAAATAAGAGTGAAAATGTGAACAAGATCTTGTCTTGTACTACACATCTTAGGCTATCTTACCTTTCTCCTTTTTGCTACCCTTGTTTGAGCTTGGCAGGAGAAATAGGACAAATGTGGCAAGCCTACAAATACAAAGTTACAAGCTTTGGTAGGGCTGACATCAGTATGTTAGAATGTCTCAGCTCCCCCAGTTTTCTTCCCCTTCATATCTTAGCTTAATATGTTTATTACACTTTGTAAAACTTCGTAAAATGTGAAGCCTTTAAACGTGGAGGCTTTGCAAACACTGAGGTAGAAAACGCTTGTTCAAGGACCAAATGTGTGAAGCACTCGCCCAGCTTGGCTCCAAGCCGCTAGACTGTCTCTAGCCCAGCTCTGCACCTCGCTGTTGGAGATGTCCAGGCTCTGTGCGTACAGCGAGGTTAACGAGCACCATCTTGTGGCTCCTCGGCTGCGGACAAGGTCCTGGGGGCTCTGGGGAGGTGATGGTGAGTGGTTCTCCAGTGCCACGAGGCAGCAGGATCAGATTGTGAGCTAACTGCACTCCTGCAGAACCTAATGTCTGTCCCATTGGGTTCTACAGTGTGTGTGCAAGATAGACAAGCTGAGGCTGTAAGAATGTAAAAAATCAAGCCTCTAAACCCACTTGTGATCATATTTTATGAAAAAAAAGCTACCCTTCTTACACTGCTGAGTTAGCTGGGAGGATGAATGTAAGGATTTATTGAAAGATCCTGCCCTGCAGTGCAAACATTAAAAGACAAGACGTCATCAACAAATACAAGGAAGTTTTCAGTCCTGCCCCTTCCAGCTGCTCTGTTGTTTTGTGTCCCCTCTGTCTGTGATTCCTCTGGTTCCTGCAGGTGAGTGTAGAGCTACTCTGAGATAACCCAACCCCCTTTCCTCCAGGTTATCTTGTACATGAGCCTTTGTCCCACTGCCGTCTTTCAAGTCCATTTCTCCACAGTGGAGATTAAATTATCCAGAAAGATCTGATTATATCCACCCTTGCTAAACCTTCTGTAGGTGCCTTCTATTACATGGAAATCTCAGAAAGTGTATCCTCAGATGAATAAAGGACCCAGTTTCAAACAAAATCAGTCCTTTGGGATTTGAAATATCCTGCAGTGCTATATCCATTGGTACACTGGAGTATCTAAGTGCACAGTCACAGACTATTGGAATTATGCTTATTCTAAGAGAATAAACCAGTTTATCCTGACAGGCTGCAAGTTACAGAGGATTTTGTGATTAAATCAGAACTATTCACACCAATTTCATGTGTTAATCCAGAAAAACAAAAGAAAAGATTTCATGTGATGGACAACCTGAGTGAGCTATGTGAGACCTCTGGAGGCAGATTATGGGAAAGATTTAGAGGGAACTTAATAGTGAGTTCAAACCATGGTAAATGTGGTGGTGCTGTTACTGTTATTAATACTATGTCACTAATACAGATGTTTAAGATGCTGTAGGTATTTCTCAGACATACAAGAAAGGGTTGTATTTAGCCAGATAGTTCTCAGCTTTTTCCACTTTGACATGGAGACAAATAAAGTAAACACAATATTGGCAATTCCTTTGCTTCCTGTTGAGAACATGTTATGCAACTATTCTGGCTTTTTTTCCTGATAAAATAGGGTGGGGAAGACAATAGCTCTAGAGAAAAGAATAACATAAAGACATTCAGCCATCCTGCAGTAGTTCAGAGAATCACCTTTGGCTGGTACAGAAGTGGTGTCCTTGAACTCAGGTAGCACCCCAGCAGAAGTTCTTATTGCATACCATGCTTTGATAAAAGAGAGAAGAATCAATAAATCAGAGAATGTAGACTGAACAGCTGATGCTGAATAGAATTCTTAGGAGGTAAAGAGTATCTGAAAAGAATATAATAAACAATCCAAGTTTCTCAAGTCCTTTATAATAACCCATGTCCAATTTCAGTTACCAAGGGGGGGTGGGGGGGGTGGGGGTGGGGGGGGCATGCTGCAGGAGGGTTACTCCTGATTTATATAAAAATAAATAAGAATAGAAAAAGCAAGCACTTTAAGCAATGAAAATTCAGCTGAAGGATTATAGAGGATAAAATGTCAACCAGTAATTAGTTTAGGCAAAGGAAGAGAGTGCATTATGTATGAAAAGGGAGAGCAAGACCACACTGTTTACATGCTACTGGACTGGAGCCAGTATGGCTCTATGGAATGAGAAGTAGATGGTTTAGCTATGTCTCATCTAAGGCAACGTGCACTTCCCAGGCAGATGGCTTCTTTCAGGAGTGAAACTGAACAACTGGCAAAGCTCCAGTGTTTCAGAGAAATGTCAGAAACCTTACAAACTAACTTGTGTAGCAACTGGCATGTGTTGGGACAAACTCGCTGGCTCCTTGTTGGTGAAAACTTTTGGCAATCAGAAAGCTCTGTGAAGCATGGGATCTATACACAAGAAACGCAGCACAAGAGAGATCTAGTCTTGTTTCAAACCTCTTTAGGTATACCCAGAACATTTACTAACCAGAGGCTCATTTTCTCTCTTAGTTATACAATTCTTCCATGCATTTATCAAGTTCCATCTTGACTGTTGAGGTTCCTTGCCCTTACTGTTCCCTTTGAAAGATCATGCCAGTGTGTGATCTTGAATTGTTACGAATGTTCTCTTTAGATTTCAGTCTAAACAGACTGCTGACCAGATGATAAAAATCTGATCTCACAATCAAATTAACCTTTAACATAGTTCCTATTCCATGCTGTTTATCTAAAAATCTATTTATACAGGATTTGCATATTATTACTCCACTGAACAAACCATGCTGTCTTTATCTCTCCCTAAGACTGATATTTCTGTAATTGTTCTAATAGCCAGTCTGCACTGATTCCAGTTTCAGCCAATCTTTTTCAACGCTGTTGACTGGAATTGCATAAATATTTCACATGAAATCTTACCAGTGCCTTGTCTATAAGACTCAATATTCCCTCCTCAACTAAAAGTCTCACCTAACCTATCTGAACATTACATTATCCATTTCCACAGCTGTGTCATACTGGCAGCTCTGGCACACTGACAGTCTATCAGAACAGTCAGATCTTTTTCCTTCTCTGTTGCTTCCATCAGATGATTCCAAGAACATGACTTTGCAGTTCGCATTATTAAATTTCTATCACTTCAGGCAAGAAGGTCATCTAATTCCAGTGTGATCATCTGGTCCTCCTCAGTACTGGCAATGCTTTCTAGCTTTGTATCACATGCAAACTTTTTGAGGCTGGGCCTGATCATTATTCCCAATTCATGGCAGTATACATTAAATGGTATTGCTCCAAAGACCAATCCCTGAGGAATACCAATGGGTAATTTGCTCAGTTCTTATAAGTCCTTTTTTATTGTAACTTGTTGCTCCTTGTTCACATTGCTTTTGTATTAATTCCTATCATTTCTGCTTTCAGTGATGATTTCCTGTGGAGCACTGTATCAAATGATCTGTTTCAACTTCAGTGGGCTGAGTTCACTGCATTATTCAGTTCCAAAAAGATGATTAACTTTCTCAAAATACACTAGATTGGTCTGGCATCCTTTACTTTGGTAAACTGTATTTTTTCTCACATTAGGTTTGCCTCCCTACAATTAATTGTTCTTTCTTTCAAAATTTGTTCTAAGCCTTAGCATTATACTGAATTATAAAAATAATTTTTAGAATACATACACTTTCTAAAAATACTTTTTTGAATATTAACATTCCATTTCTATATGAAGTCCAAGATAAGGTTTCATTCAAATTCATTAAACACTGGCTGCTTTTACTTGTAGTTTCATATAGCAAGTATTTCAATACTCTAGGGAAGAGACTGTATATATCCCTTCATTTTTTTGCATTAAGAGAGACAGAGGTTTTTCCCTAAGATGTTGTAATTTCTGTTATTCTTCCATTCCTTTATATATCATTCCAATCTGTCATTAGCCTTATGTAGCTCAAAGCAAAGGTCCTCTTTGCTCACTCTGAAATAACACCATCTCTTGTTAGTTAACTGATTATTAAAGAAAACCATCTTTTGCCATCCCTATGTCTTAGATAGAGTTCTGCTGTCACTGATGGCATTTATTTTCTGCTTTATGTCTGGGAAGTGAAAGTCTTCCATAAGCAAGGAATTGTGTTCAGTATTTTCCTGTAAATTTACATCCTTATAATTTATATCCAAGTTTGAATAGAGGAAGGAGACTGTAAAAGATTCTCAGGACTATCCTTCTGGGGCATTTTGTGTCGTCTCTTGTCCCAGTAATTTGCACCCACATAGAACCTATTTCATGGATGCAATCACACATTTCTTTACACTCAGCCATTTCCTTAACATTCAGTGATACCCTTCTTCCTCTGCTCTCATTTCTGTTTTTTCTAAGATGCTCCCTACATAGTGCATTAGTGGGAATATTCTGTCCTCAGCTGAAGTGCAGGAGGCATCTCCATTTTTCAGCAGAGCTGTATAAAGACCTTGGAGCTTCTGATTTCTAATATTGCCTTTAGCATTGCCATTCTGTCTGTGCAAGACAATTTTCCAAAGGGACAGGGTACGGCCTGTCTGCAGCATGCAGAAGAGAAGCTGTGTACTGCCAGTGGTCAGCTTTTCAGTCAAAGATTGTCTGAGATAGACAATTGGTAATTTAGCTCCAGTGTAATTTAGTCCAGTCTGAACACTGGACTCCATAGATCCTCAGGCCTTGACCATCCACTCAGGACTACCAGAGAGTATTAATGTGAAGTTAGAGTACAGAAACACTGATTTTCTTGCTTATTTGTTTTGCTGTGGATGTCGTTTTTTCAGTATTGGCATCCAGAGACAATGAGAACAGTCAGGGCAATTCCTCCAGAGAGATCTATTTGAGCTAACAAGTTATGTCCATGTCTTACCTGATCTTTACTTCTTCAGAGAAATTATTTTAGCCATATCATGAAGGCATTAACTGAGATTATAAATTTCATCAGGGCCAGGGACCAGGGGAGAAATGTGCTCCCACATACCTGATCCCCTGAATCCAGCAGGGGGTTCTCAGCACTGCATGCAATATCAAACAAAAAAATAAAGGACTTGTTGAGAAACAACATTGCTGAAGTTCTTTTAACCCCAGTCACTCATGGCTGCACACACACACCCAGCTGCTGCTGCTGGGAGTGCCTCCAGACAAAGCTGGGTGATGGAAAGCATTTTTCACATGTTTGTACACTGAAGAATGGCCATCATAGGGTCAGGAGCAACTGTTTCCAAAAGTAAATATTGTGCATTTCTCTGTTAGGTAATAGCTAAGAGCAACATGCATTGTAGCTAGAGCCTTAAGGGGAAGCATGGCAGCGAGTCAAAACAGATATTCCTGGCTCCTGAATCAGGATGAGACTTCCGCTCTGCAGTTCAAGTAGCACCCTCCCTTTCATCCATTACTACTGGCCGCAATGCATCATGCTTAAATTTTAGAGATGTAAAATTAAATTAGAAAGGGGGAGAGCAGCAAAAGGTTCAGTGAATTGGAGAAAGAGTAATAATTTTGTAACTGACTCATCTTCAAACCATTCCATCAGATCAAAAATAGCTTAACTCCTCTTCAAAGATAAGTGCCAGTAAAAGCATCCCAGCAGTTTCACAACGGTCACAGTTTAGCAGCTCTGGTCAGGACTTCTGCCTTTCTCTATGTGCAAGAACAGCCTTCTTTAACTGCCATATTATTAACTCAGATACAGAAGCTCTCCTGCTGTTATCTAATAACACTTTTGACTATATTTCACTACTGCTGTTCTCATACCTTTCCATTCTGGTACACTGCAGAAAGGATTGGTACATACCTGGCATATTCTATCTGCAAAAGGTTTTAGTAGGTCTTAATTAGTAGTTCTCAGAGTATGTTAGGAGGTTATTTCTCAGTAGAAAGAATAGAAATAGCAAGTTTAGTATTGAAAGGTTGCACTGTTATTTCTGTGGGCTTTGTTTGATGCTCAGAAGAGTTTTTGTACAGATGTTTGGTCAGTCATGTCTTTTGAGGCATCTGGGGACTGTCTGCTGCAAAAGGACAACATGGTTTAAAGATGTACCACCAGTGCAATACTGTTTCTAAAATGATAAAAAGGTTTGCAAAGAACTTTTGGCCTTCTGCTTTACTGCTGGTAGTAAATGTTTCTTAGAGATACCAGTGCAAGTACATGATAGTAGTAATGGTACTATCAATATTATTTGTATTTTAATAGTACATAACTCCCAATACATGTCCCTGGTCCGATCAGGAATAACTGAATGGTTTGGAAAAACAAGTAGTTTTGGTGCCTTCAAGTCAAGGCAGGTACCAGTTCAGCTATTTACAGTCTACAGCATCAATCCAGGTCTTTCCAAAGCATTGCACTCACATGATATTTTTGCCAAAAAACCTTTCAGTGGGACCTGTCATTCTGATTTTAACTCTTTCAGGCAGTATTACCACATCAGGATTGATATCCTGTAAGATGTACATAAGTAAACACTGGGACACATATATTTGAAGTTTTTCTGACTGCAGAGTCAAGTGCAATTGACTTGTGGGATAGAGAAGCCTTATTCAGTATCTCATATCTTATTCTATAGTCTGAAGATACATAATGTGAGTTTTCAGGAGACGTTTGCTTGAGGGTTGAACAGATGGGAAGATCTGAACATCCTAGCTATTACTGTGTTTCACTTTAGATTCATTAGCAGTCAGGAAAAATGTTTTATAAGAGATCATATATTTGTTTGTTCAAAAAAAATTTGTATTGTAATGTGAATTAGATGCAGTGAAAATACAGATTAATCTTTCCTGTTTATAGAACCAAAGCTGCACAGTTAAGACCTTGATTTCCCCAAAGTCTGTCATATTTATTTAGAACTTCGTTTTGACCTAAATCCAATTCTCATTTCTGAAAACTGTATAAAGTTCTGACTTGCAGCAATTCTCTTCTTAAGGTCATTAGTATATATGTATGTAAAATTAAGAATTCTTATCAAGTAAACTATATATTTTTAAGAAGACTCACGGTTTCTACATAAAACATATGCAGAACATATTGCAGGCATAGAAAAAAATGTGTGGTGTATATATGTTTGTTATTAACTGCTTTAACTTGACTTACCTGGTTTTATAAGCAGCACTGTCAGGGGAATTAATTGCATCAGAGTCAGTGGAGAGGAAAATCAAGGAAGAATTCTACTCACAACAAATTAAGCTTTAATACTGCAAAGTTGTCATTACGTGTATCAAAGGCTGTTGGAAGTCATGCAGCTGGGAATAACTAGAGGGCTTGTTAATGCAGCCAGGATCATCTCTGTGACAGAAGCTCACTTGCAGGAAATGTGATATGAAATTTTCCTTAGGTTTTCCTCTCATTCCCATACTGTGTTTATTTCTCTATTTAATTTCTCAGGAACTCATATTTCAGTGTCTACAAAACTGTATAATGCAAGTCTGAAAGAAGCCTTAAGTGAATGCAAGTGAATCTTCTTTTCCTAGTTTTGGGACTGGGGGTTTCCGCAGCTAATTTAGGTTGAGGCCATTGCATATGTAGGGTCGTATCGTGATTCTAAACGTAGCCACAACACAAGGCAGATGCTTAATTTCTGCTTCTCATACTTCCCTTTTGAAAGACACTCTTTTCTTCCTAGCATAGCCTTTTCTAGGAGAGTAAGCCCTGAGTGGCTGCATTTCTTGCTTTTAGCAATCCCTACAGTATCTCACCAGTCTCTTAGGGGCTGATGCTTCAGTCTGTGAACTGCTATAGAAATCTGTAACAGTTAAAAAAAGTGCAGGATCAAAGGGGTATTCTGCTTGCAGCTTAAAGGCTTACAGAATTTGTAGCACTAATGTAGACATTGTTTCGTTGGGATTTTATATGCATTCTGATGTACATCTATCATGTGCATACCTACTTGTGGAATTCCTTTTCCTTCCTTCCTCAGTAATTCTTTCTTGGTTTTTTTTTTTTTTGAGATTGGGCAGGAGCTGAGTTCTTTTGCCAAATGTAGTAACATGTGGCTGCCCCATCCCTGGCAGTGTTCAAGGCCAGGTAGGACAGGGCTTGGAGCAACCTGGTCTAGTGGAAGGTGTTGCTGCCCATGGTGGGGGATTGGAACTAGATGAACTTTAAGTCCCTTCCACCCCAAACCAGCCTATGGTTCTATGATTCCATGAAGCAAAAAGCAAACGTGTATCAGTAATAATACATCAGGCAGAGAACGAACGAATGCTTGTTTTACTTCAGATTTGACTATGTCTCATTTATGCTATGATTGCTACATACTGATCACGCAGAAAACAATCAGATCCTTCTTTTCCAGAGTGGTGTAAATAAACATGACTATACATTATAGCTGTTCCCAGTATTTCCTGTACCAGATGACGAATTGGACTCCAAATTACATACACAAAATGCATGACCAATTGTATATTTTGGTTTGCAATTATCCCAAGTGCATATGCTAATTGCTGGTTATGCTGCAGCAGTAAAATAAACTTTCAGGTTTTGTTGTCATTACATTTTCAGTGTACAACAACTAATTTATTGGTCCTCTGAACATAATGAGTATTCTTTCTCTATGTGAATGATCTTTATATATCTATAAATCATAGATTGCAAGAGTCCTTCAACACAGGGTCAGCAGGTCCATGCTGTTTTGTACCTGCTCTGTTCCAAGTGGTGACCTTCATAGCTATGTCTTTAGTTTTTTGCCTCTTTAACAATGGGCTGAGCATTGTCTTTTCACTGCATAGCATTAAGCACACTTTCTCTGATATTTTGTAATGTCTTGCAATTATATACAGCAGTACAAAACTCTGCTTAAAGGAAGCAAATATCCAGAGCAATCTGGAGATGTACTTAATTTCTCAGTGGTGGACAAAACTATGTCAGACAATTACAAGAACGACAGAGCAGAAAAGCAGTTAGAGCACATAGAGGGAGCAATATCATCTGGTGAGCTTTTTGGACACCAAACCAATCCATGGCAAAGCTCATGTGTGTTTCTCACTCAAGAGTTTACTCTAAGAACTGTGTTCATTAATTGAGCCACCTGTGTAAGTGCCACAGCACCAGAGCCTATAGAGAAGGTCAGCCTGGGCTCAGGCTTTAGCTGATGCCATTCAGATCTCTGTGGGTGTCATTGGCAGGTGTTGGTGCAGCACAAACAGGATCTCCTGCCTTTCAGTGATCATCTTTATGTTCTAGAGACTTTTCTTCTTGTCATGGTTTAACCCCAGCCAACAGCTCAGCCCCACACAGCCGCTCCTCGCTCCCCCCAGTGGGATGGGGGAGAGAATTTGAAAGGTAAAAATGAGAAGACTCAGGAGCTAAGATAAGGATAGTTTAATAGGTAAAGCAGAAGCAGTGTACACAAGCAGAGCAAAACAAGGAATCCATTCAACACTTCCCATTGGCAAGGAGGCATTCAGACATCTTCAGGAAAGCAGGGCTCCATTGTATGTAACAGTGACTTGGGAAGACAAACTCCATCACTCCCTTCCTTCATCTCCCCCTGGCTCTATATGCTGAGCATGACATCATAGGGCATGGGATATCCCTGGGGTCAACTGGGATCAGCTGTCTGGCTGTGTCCCCTCCCAACTCCTTGTGCACCCCCAGCCTTCTCAGTGGCAGGGCAAGACGCAGAAAAGGCTTTGACTCTGTGTAAGCACTACTCAGGAATAAGGAAAACAGCCCTGGGGTATCAACACTGTTTTCAAAAGCACAAATCCAAAACATAGCTCCATACCAGCTACTGTGAAGAAAATGAACAATCCCAGCCAAAACCAGCACACTCATCCTTTATAGGATGAGGCTCCCAGTGGATTAGAGCAGGAATCCTCATCATGGATATTTCCTCTCCAGAGAGTCTGCCCAGGCAGGAAATCTAGACCAGCATGGAGAATGCTAATAGATTGTTGCCAGGCTTCTGTTTGCTAGCTGAAGCAAAGCACATGGCATCAAGGACATGTGTACAAGCCTGTTGCAAGTGGTGGGACCAGCTGATTGTTCAACACTGCAGTGAAGAAGAAAGCTCTTGTAACTGCCCTGATCTCCAGTAACTGTAATCAAATACTACACAGAAGAAAAATCATGTATGATACGCTGATATTTCTACTTGTGCACAAAGAGTGGTGGAACATTGTTGGGGTATTTAACATGTAGGAATGTAACACAGTTGTATTAATTTGCTTGATAACAGTAACATTTCCTGTTACCTGCATTCAGTGATTCAGCATGTTTGAGACACATCTTTGATGAAAATACATGTGTCTAGAGGTTTGTGTGCAAGGATTGTATGTGGGTCAAATTAAAAAGTGGTCCTTATTGTGTTGGATGGTTAAGCTGTAAAATTCAACCAGAGGAAGAGTAGAAATAATAATCTTGCTTTTACCAGTTCAGCAGTAAACAGAGCAGGCACAAGCCATGTTTAATGTATCTGGGAAATGGTAATATTAAATTCTCTTGTCTTCCTATGCCAGGTGCCAGGATCTCTGAATTTCTAATTGAGAGCACTAGCTAGAAAGACTGATAAGGCACAACTGAGCACCTGGATTGCATCAAAATGAGAATAACTCTGTTAACTGCTGTTTATTGTAATGTTCCACTACAGACAACACCTGTGGTATGACTTTAGAAACGGATAACCTGAGCTGATTTCACACAAGGTGAACTCAGCAGTTGTCAGCTTTTTAGGCAGCTTCCCAGCCATGTGCTGAGGGCACATGCTCATAACACAAGAGAAAATCATGCTTCATGGTTATATGGTACATTACGACTTTTTTTTTTTTTCCTTATCTTTAAAATTCCTTGTCTGCTTCTGCATTAAAAGGAAGTTTCAAGTAGCTGTGATTTTAACATTTTCTCATATCTTGGAGTACGTATGTCACCATCCATGTTCTAAAAACATCTGGATGGTCAAAATTGCTTAGCACTGGTAGCGTGCACTTGCAGAGGAATTGAAGTTTTGTCAAAGATGCTTTTAACTGCTTTCCCATCTATTTTATTCTCTTAGACTTTTTTTTTTTCTGAATCAACAATAATAGTGCTGTACCCCATGGAGTTTACAGCACTGAAACAACACATCCTTTTGGAATTGGGTACAGATCTAGTAAGAGATCCTCTCGCTGAACACTGGATTTTGATTAGCTTTGGATCTTTAAATGAATTTCCTTCATGTTCAAATAATTTACATTTGGAAAATATGAACTAAAAAAATGCATCTTGTCAGGACCACTTCCTAATTACTCAGTCTGTATAGAAGCTGATTCACTAGATTCATAGTCAGCAATTTATCATCCAACCCCTTTCTACTGTTCAGAAGACAGTCAGTGTTGTCTGATATACCATAAACATCCGACTAAGGCATATTTATTGTTTTTTACATTACTTTGATAGCAAAAGAAAACACAACTTTTCCATAAAAATGAATGTCTTTTTTTATTTGGATGGATTTTTCTTTCCAGGATTTGAGAGAAAAATTGTAACTACTGACGTTCATTGAATGAAGTTAGAACTTTTCAGTTTAGTGAAAGCTTTGAAATACAGCAAAGAGATGAGCATAATGAAGAATGTCTTTTCTGCTCAGGTAGCTACTGCTCCTACAAGATAGGATCATTCCCTGTGTTTTCCTAGAGTTCATCAGTAAAAATATGGGACATATTTCTGCATATACTTGCACACATGAATAGTGTCAATCACATAGCAGCCCTATTCCCTTGTGGGTATGGCTAAAACAATATAGTGGAATTAAAGATGAGTAATGTGGAAAATGGGAGGTCTTTGATTCTTGTATGATCTTTAGACTCTCAAGAGTGCAAGGATAAGGAAAATAAGCTCCATATTTCGGGTCTGTTTGATTTTGTAAGTAACCAATTGAAATTAATAATTAACCTTTTAAAATAAGATTCCTTAAGAGTGCCAAGGGTTTTTTTTAAAGGCAACTGCACCTTGTTTCTGGTGAGCTGTTCCCTGTCTGTGGCATAAGCTGTGCTCAGTGGTTTTCATTGCTTTCTCTCTAACGCTGAGGTATTTTATACCTCTTTCTATTCTGATTGCCAAATAGCACAGAAACGTATGTCTGGTACCACCTTTGATAAATGATTCTTGTTCTGAATTTGGTCTTTTGAACCAAATGAAACTATAAAAAATATTTTTTTTAGTGTACATGTGCTGGATATATTGGCCTGTGGTCCTTGCTCAATTGGCAGGATTCTTCCTAATCCTGTTTAATTTGTCTCAATTCATCTCAATTCTTCTCTGCCTAATTGGTAATATTGAAATTCCAGTGCTCTGGAAGGCAACATTTGCTAATATAATAAGAGTAAGTCGAATTGGAAAGCATCCACATTTCTGTACAAGGTAGATCCTTCCTTCCCTCACAGTGCTTCAGTGAACTGTGCCTCCCTCTAAATCTTGAATCATTGTGTTTGAATTCCAAGTGTGCACCTTAGCTGAAAGCATCAAGAACACCAGTTGTCTGTGTTAGCAGCTTACTCACTCTGGTTTATTTATCCCTTTCTGGATCTGGCCTCTAGAGCCAAGTGCTTCTTTTAAAAATTCCTTTTGTAAGTATTTCGAATTATTTCCACATTGGGATGAACTTCCCACCCCCTACATAGAGTGGTCCTTAGCCTGAAGGTTTTCCTTATGCTTTCACAGAAACTAAGTGTGGAAGCCAATAAGAGACTGTTGAAGGGGAATGCAAGTGTGGTCTAAGATAATTTCTAGTTTAATTTTGTAGCAGTTAGGATTAGGTTATTAAACATATTTAAAATGAGAGGTGAGTGCCTACATATGTAAAAAATCTAATGTTTAATCTCTGAGCTTCAGCTTGTTCAACGTTAATGAGAACTAGTACTTGTATGAGGGTTTTTCTTAATTGCTTAATGGAAAGTGTTACATTAACAGGTTGATCAAGAATAAAGTTTTATAGGACTCAAAATAATTTTTCTCTTTCAACAGGTGACACATTCAAGTGGTGACATAAAAAAATTATCAAAATTTCATTAGATTTACTTCTTAGGGAGACATGCAAATCGTATTTGATCTTCTACTCTGATGTTTGCCTTCCTTTATTGAAAGGATGAAGAGATTCCTGCTGAGCTAGAGGTCAGGAAACAGATAGTACTTTTTTTGCAAGCTTGTGTGAGCAGAGTTTACACTATCAAGATACTTATTTAAACATGGCTAATTACAAGGCCGGTCACTGCAAAGAAGCTCTGGTTCTATAACTTGTAGGTAGTTTTACTAAACCCTTGCACTTAGGCTGAAATGTTGCTGAACAATTCCTTCGCAGGAGTGCTGTTCTTGTCATATTACACCTGTGGTGTAAGAAAACATGAAGCCTTAAGCAGTAACACTTGCTTATTTGAGTAGTCACAGATAAGGTAGGTTTGTGAGAGGTGCTGAGCAGCTTCCACGGCTATTGTCTTAATGAAAGTACTGCATGAGGAAAGGCTGAACTGCAACCTCCTTGTTTGATCTGTTGCATCTTACTTGGTCTGTTTGAGAATATTCTTTCTGATTTGCTTTTGTTTTATCCTTGACATACACAGAATGTGTATTTACACCAGTACTGCGTTAGACATTAATTTGGTTAAACGGTTTCTCACTGTATTCAGTACTGCTTAGCTGCATCTGGAGCAAAATTTAATAGAGCACACAGTTAAGTGTTTGCTAAAAAGAAATAGAAGAGGCTGGCAAGGAATTTCTAATGTAGTTGTGAAAGTTTTACAACAGCTTATTTATGCAGAAGTCATTATTTTGCATTTCCTTTTGTGTTAATAAGAATTAGTTAAATCTCTGATACCTTTGGAGAGAATAAACACACATAATTTCTCTCTTAAAATTTTTGCTGAAAGGTTCTGTAGGAAACTTCAAGATACAGATCTATCACCACAGACGTATCTTCTAGTCCACCATTAGATAGCTGCCAGTGGCATAAAAATCAGTTTCAAAATGGGCATGAACTGGCATTTTGGCTGGCAACATCATCAGAGAATAATATGTAAGGGAGCAAGTTTGCCCACTCATCACTGCATTTCTTGTAAGCCAGGATGCAGTCCTGAGGGAATTTATCCTCATGTTGGCATTTCTTACACCTTTTTGAGGAAGTGCTGAAATGCTCTTTCACAAAAATTTATTCTTTTGATTAACTCCATTGATTCCATAGGATGGTTCAGGGGACTAATGTCAAATGAATCTGATTTAAAGTAAATTTAAATTAATTGAATAAGATATATTTACAATTATGATCCATCTTCATATCTTAATGATAAAACCTCTTCAGAGTACACCTGTTTGAAGCCAAAGCAGACAATGCCCTTCCAGATCAGGCCCATCACAATACAGTAGGTATTCCTCGGTCAATAGAAATTAAATTTTAACTAAATTTTCCAGAACATTCATGGGAGATGCAAATCCAAATATGAAATATTTCCCCAAAAGAATGCAATTCCTTCATGCATTTACAAGGAATGGATTAACAAGAGCTGTTGGATCTTTGTTTAGTACATTTTAAAATGAATACAAATGGAATTTTCTAGCAGTGATCCAAATTATGCCCTGCTATATTTTCCAGAGATTCATTTCTCCATTTCCAAGCTTAAGCATTTGGAAGAAATCAGAGAGTTCTGTTCTAAGCCCCTTTAAGGGTGATAGATAAATACTAAAGGGAAAACATTTGACTCAAATAAGTGAATTTCCTTTATGTATTGTTTTAAACCCACTTTTCTTCACTCAGTTTTCCGTGAGAGCTACATAAAATCATTTTGAATGCTGTAGTATTGGAACTGAGAAAGATGCCTGCAGTTACATAAAACCACTGTTAGGTCACTTATGACTGAAAGTGGCAGTTAAAATCAGTGATATTTATTTTGTCTCTGTCAGGTGGAGAAGTAAATCAGTTTGTAAATATAAAAAAAAGATAACACTGATAGGGAAAGAAAAGGTTATATATGAAAGGATGAGACATTATTCTTTTGGGGGGAGGGAGTGTGTCTCAATGTTCTTATTATATGGAAACTAATCTTTATGCTTAAAAGAGTGACCTGGAACAAAGACCTTGGTTCAGCCATCAGCTCTGTTCCTGATGCTCAGCGATAATGCTGTTTTGTAGTAAGCAAATTGTGAATCTTCTGGGGCTTTAGTCACAGTTACATTGAAGACCTTTAACACCCCTCTGGCAACTTGCTCAGTCTGCTAGACAGTATTCCTTCCGCACCAATAATGTTATCAAAAATATTGAAGAAAACCAACTGAAAATAAAGCCATCAACATCCTTTAGTTGATCCAATTATCTGTCTCTAAAAAAAGGTTTAACACTTCCCACACAGAACAGCAGCTTGAGTAATTTGGCAATGATAACAGTGCATAATCAAGAAACAGGAGGCTGTGATATGTGGTAATATATCCCATTTTGTGTACAGGGAGAGTTTTGTTTAAGTAAATATATTTTCTTTTAAGTACCTTTTGGATTACTTGTTAATAGGTTGCTCATCCCATTAGTCTCATGGAGTTACTACAAATGTTTAACTGCAGAAATCATAAATGGGTGAATTTTAACATTCCTGATGATGGCAGATTGCAGATTAGGCTTTGTGTCTTTGTTGGTTTTTTTTGTCATGTTCAAGGTGTGTTTGAAGATAGGGAGCAACTATGACTAACCTGTAGAACAAAGGATTGGATGGTTTGGTTATTTAGCTTCTACTGGTGACTAATTCACAGCTAAACCTGAAGTGTGCCATCATTACAGAATAGTGCTCAGACAAGTCCTTTTAATGATACGCTGTCATAACTTCCCAGATGACATTACAACACGGTGTTTTATCAGCAAATTACATCAAAGGCCTCACATTCAATTACGCGAGGTTGGGCTGGGAAATAAAGCAGTCTGCTGCATTTAAAATGCAATGAGTTGTTTTCACTGTTAAAATGAGGAGACCCTTGCGTTGTAAACCTGCGGACAGGCTACAGTTTTAAACTTTATGTCTGCAGCTGCTGTGAACCTCCAAATTATTTATGTATGGAATTTGCATGAAGTCCGTGACAGATCTCAGGAGTACCTTAGACCCCAGGCACTGTGGTGACAGGTACCCTAGGTACAGTGTACTTTGAATAACCATTAAAAATTGTGGTTACAATGTCAACTGGGAGGAGACACATCCACATCCAGAGGCCCCAGCCCTGATGTCTGTACTGAGTGAAGGGAGATTTGACAGTGAAAAGAATAAAGGACTAACCTGGAAGTTTCCACGGGATATTTATACTATACATAAAGACCTGGCTGCATGCTTGTCGCCAGCATCAGTTTTCCATCAGTACAGAGCTATTTGAATTGAGACGGTGGCTGTTTGTACATGAAAAAACCAATCTTGTGTTACATATTATACCCTTCATAGCACTGATTTTAAAGGGAAGGGACAACATTTTGTCCTTCCCAGTCCATAAAATCTACAGACAGTCTGACAAGGAATACTTTGGGACATTGTTTTATATTGCTTATAAAACATAATTCATAATAAGCAGCATAATGCATTAATAATAGTTTACTAAAACAACAAAAGACTTCCATGGCATTATTCAAATGAAGTATTTCTCTTGGATCAAAACCTAATTAGAGCACTTCAAAAAATACAGGTCATTTGGTGATACAGGTAGTGTCTTCAAGCCAGAGAGAGGATATCTGGGGGTAGACACAGACTTGGTAAGAGGCAAGTGGTTTGGTTTTAAGTACATCCCTACGATAAGAGAAAAATTACCCTTGAAAACACTCTTAACGACAGAGAGGGATTTAGGTGTATGTTGTGTCTTCCTGGACATCATGTTGCAAGTAGTACTTTGAGCACAGAACTTTCCTTTCATTGAGTCCCAGGGGTGTACTCATTGTACAGTTCTTTGGCAATCTGTGCTCCCAAAATCATTATATAATTGTGACATAATTAGCCTTTTTTGCTAAATTATTTGGAAAATGGAAATCTACTTCATTAAGTGTAAGGTATTTCCCTGGTTCCTCATTATATACCCGCCCCTGCCTCCTTAGGATTAATACTTCCATTTATGCTACTTTAAACTGTCACCTCATTTTCATGCACTCTGATTTCAGCATAACTACAAATCTCAAGCAGAATACTCTTTTATTTCAGAATCCTGCTTGCATCATTAATTTAATAAGGTCATTTCCAGCCTTGGAAATGCACAGGCTGCAGAGGGTGGTTTATGCCCATCTCTATGTCTAACTTGAGGTTCATCACCCTCCTCTTCTTGCAGAGGAGCAGGAATAATGCAGGCACACCGGCTGAGTTGGTGTGAGAAACAGCACGGTGGAACCGTGTCCATGTGCCGGCCCCGCTCCGGGGCTTCTGAGGGAATCAGGCTCTGCCTTCTACTGCTTCTCTCGAGATTCCTCCCCCGGCCTCTGGCTTCAGGAGGGCCTGTGTCTACCGCAGGGCCCCCCATGATCCGGCTGTCCCGGGACTCAGGGCACGGAGGACACGCCTCGCTCCTCCAGGGGGCGCGGTTCCCGCCGCCCCCGCGTATTTTACGCATGGAGGGGCCAAGCTCCGCCTCCTCCCGCCCTCGGCACAGCGCCGCCACCTGGTTGGCGGAGTGCCCCTTCACTCGGAGGGGAGCCCCGCCCTCCTGCCGTCGCCCGGAGTGCGACTTGGTTGGCAAACGCGCCCCGCCGCTCTCGCGCCGCAGCCCTCCCTTGCGCTGCGCGCAGCGATTGGCTGACCTGCCTGTCAGTCACGGATTAGCCCCGTCCCAGCCAGTGATGCCACCTCCTGAGCGTCAGGCGCGGGTTAATTGGCGCATTGGGCTATCAATCAGCAACGTGTCCCGCCCCCTCCCGGTCAGGTAGCCCGGAAGATGGCCGCGGCGGCGGCGGCGTCCGTAGGGGTTGGTCGTGCTCTGTGAGGGGAGCGGGCGGCGGGTCCGATGCCGTGGGTGGCCGCACCGAGGAGGCTGGGGGTAGCGGCTGCCGCGGGGACTCGCCGGAGACGCTGAGACGCTCGAGCCCCTCATCCGGCGCTGCGCCTCGAAGCGGGAGCGGAGGGCATGCAGCAGCGCGGGGGTCTCGGCGGGGGTGCCGGGCGGCGGGGGTGCTGCCCGCTGCCCTTCGGACCCCGGCGCCCGCTCGGGCTCGTCCTTCTGCTGTCGCTTCTCTTAGGGAGCGGCGGGGCGGCTCCGCTTCCGCGAGCAGGTGCAGGTGAGAAGCGGGAGGCGGCGGGGGGAAGCGGGGCTGGGCGAGGGCTCCGCAGTGGGGCCTGCGAGGGGACGGTGGGGGTTTCGGCGCGGGGTGCCTTTGGCTGGGGCAGGCTCCGGGGGCGCGGGGTGCCTTTGGCTGGGGCAGGCTCTGGGGGAGCGGGGACTCTGCGGGGGCATTGCGGGCTTCCAGAGCCCCGTCCCTCCCCCGGGCTGCGGGCAGGGCCCCGCGCCGCGCTCACCCCGCGCCGAGGCTTCGGGAAGGGCACGGTGGGTAGATGGGATCCCGGCGCAGCGGGCTGCGGCTGCCGGCCTGCAGGTCACGGCTGGTGCTTGTGGCATTAGGCGGTATCCTCCTGTAGGTATCTCGGTTTCTTTAGGTTGAGCTAGGTACTTGTCTTCTGTGTGTTTACCCACATACGTTCCTTCCGTAGTGCCTGCCGTTCTAGCCTTTACAGACCTTCGGCGTGATTTTTCTTTTTCCTATTTTTCCCTGTGAATCACCGGGATTCCCGTTCCTGGGTGGAGGCTCTTAAGGGCAGACGGCGCTTCCCTCCTTTCCGGTCAGATTAGTCGGATTTCGCCCCGGCCCAGACTCTCTAAATAGTAATGTAGTTCACATTTATTTGTCTCTTATGTAGGTAATCCTAACTTCTTCGATTTTCTTGCTTATTTTCCTGTTTGTCAAAAGCACAAAATAAAAAGACATCCTGTTAGTTATATGCGTTACTGTTCAGAGGTTTATTAGTACTGGTAGGCAACAACCATCTCTGAGGTGTTTTTATTTTTTGGTATTTCACATAACATTGTATTAAGACTCGGTTTTGTTGGGTGTGTTTTGAATGTGTTCTTAGATCCATTTCTAGCCACGAAGAGTTGAACAGCTGAAATAGACAATATGGTCACAAAGGAGGAGGAGGAGCAGAGGGTAGGGAGAGATCTGAAGCACAGAGATTAGGTAATTTGGCTGCTGCTCCACAGAAAGTATCAAAACTGGGAGCGGAAGCCATACTTCCTTTATTTTTGGACCTGTGCCTCTTTCTCGGTTTTTTTTTTTTACTCCCAAGAACATTTCTGATTTGTTCATAAATTACTCCCTCCATCAGCCTTCTTTGAGGTCTTTCTTACTTTTGTAGAAAGTACTTTCTGAAGAAAGAGAAACCTGTCAATCAAGTCTGTGTTTCCTTTGAGACTAGAAGGTAGTTTGTTTATTTATGAAATACTTGAAGTTTGTCCAAATAATATTAACTTGTTCTCAAGCCATAAGATAAGGCAGCAGAGTCAGTTCTGTGTGGAGGTCTTTTCTGCCTTTTTGATGTCTGTATTTCTCGGAAATGCAGTTAGTTTTTCTGTGTAAAGGTTTAAGGATAGTTGTCAGGTGTTTGCTCTCAGGGCTATGGTGTGTGCCTTACAGAGCTGGGAGATCAAAACAACTTCCATGACTCTGGTAAAAAGCTTCATTCTCAGATGGAAAAACTGATTGGACAAAATGCAGTAGATAATGTTAAAGTGTTAGGGGAGGTTAAATGATTGTTTTAAAGGCTGAATCAAGGATGTTCAGTGCAGTGTTGCTAAGAGAAGTATTTATCATGTTCTGATATTGGGCTCATAGGACATTAATGAGACAGCATAATTTTATATGTTGGTTTTGATTGTAATTTAGGCCAAAGCATGTATACATGGGATCTTACCTGAAATAACCCAAAGAAACCAAATTAACTCCAGGAAATGAAACTGCTGCTTTCTACTGTATCTTTGCCGATATGGTAAGAAGCAGTGTCCTTGGAGTATTTTATTGACAGATATTTAGTATTTAAATCTTCAAGGCCTCAAGAGGAACCTTTTCCAGTTTCACTGGCATTTTGCTGGGAAGACTTCCTACTGAATGAAATAATGTGTGCAAATGGGGTTGTGTGCAAGATTCTTGGTCCTGCAACATGTCCTGTATTGTCACAACAGCAGAAACCAGTTAGAAAGCTACAAGGACTTTGTTTTTCTTTCCTTTGAATAGCTTACCAGTGGATGGCAGTTAGACTGTTTTGTCTTGAACCTTCTTGCTCACACTACGTATGCTTTATAATCTGAGAAGACAAACCTGTGACATTGTTTTGCTGGGTTAGGAATCCTGTGTTGTGTTTAAAAACAACTTCAGCCATATTGTGAATTTCTCTCCCATATATCCCAAGACAGCTTGCTTTTATTTCCAGTCCTGAGACTGGCAATGACTGATGGTCTTCATTCTGGGCTGTGGCAGTCATTATAGTTCACCATAATACTTGTTCTGATACATACGAGTTGTGAATTTGTGAAGAATTTAATGAACTTTTCATGGAATAATTAGTAACTGGTTTCAGAATTATTTCAGATCGCACAGTTCTTCAACTAGTAAAAAAAGGTTGCTGCTTTAACAACCCTTTTTTTTGTCAAAAAGTTTGTTTGACAACCACATTTTGATGTATGTTGCCCTGAGCTTGTTACAGAAAAAGTGGGAAATCCACAGAAAAAGAGGAAGGTCACCGTAGTTGTAGTGAACTTTGCAGAATAGTTTGTGGAATATACCCATAATAAATTGCCCTTTCTTTTGGGGAGGGAGCTGGAAAGCAGGAAGTGGTAATGGACAGGTTCTAGCAAGACTAGATTGGATTCGTTGTTCAAAAATGCCCCATTTTGTCGACTTGCTGGGGAGGTGTGCCACACTACGGCTAGGGAACTGTCAAGTTCCCAGAGCCTTGATCAGGGAGAATGATGCTGCTCTTTTAAGTATGGCTTCATAGTGTTTGCAAATGAAGCTGTGCATTGGTGATGTGGTCTATAGTAATCTTCTGGTTTTGAGGTTATATTTCTAAACTCATTTAATTTTTTTCTTTTCAACACTAAGGAAAGGAGGTAAAGGAAATTGGGCTGTAACTGTTCCCCTGGTAGGGTTCGTGGCAATTATTGTAGGAAATGGGAAAAACAAGATGCTGAAGATGCTGCTAGCTAAAAATACTTTGGCCAGCTTGGATTTAATTTATTCTGTGAGTGGAAAAGGAGGATACTGATATGGACTGTGATAGTGCTAAATTTAAAGGTTTCACTTTATACTGGAGGTGAGGGCTGGGGGCAGGTGTGCTGTAAAGGAGTTCATATAATGAAGGTCTGTAGTTATTTTGAGCCTATAGATTGTTTGTGATTTCACCTGAATGAATCAGACAAAGATGACTTCCATTTCTAGTACAGTGTGGTCGAAGTAAGGGTGTTTGGCAGCTACTCTTTAACAGCAGTATTTAGTAGCCAAATTTAGTGCGTTATAATCTGACAGGTCTACTTTACTGTGCTAAAGCTTTACACTTCTGTTCTTCTGGTTTGGATTTCCATACTTGACCTTAATTCATCTGCCTCTCCAAGAAAGCTAAGAATCTGAATCAAGGGTATGTATATAATGACAGACAAAGTATTTATATCATCTCTCTGCTCTATGAAGTCTGTGAAAATACAAAGTAACAGGGAATCCAAAATGATCTTATTTTCCTGTAAAACTTGAATAGGTGGCAGCATTTTTGGTAGGTGTGTTCAATTTCACATTTGTGATGAATTATGTAGTCTGTTCAGTTGAATTGGGGCACCTGGGCTGGTGCTTCCCTGGTTTGTGCAGAGAACCTCGGTCTTGGGGCTGCATGTCATGGCAGTGAGTCCTTGCTGATGAGCTTAGTCATGTGTAGCTCTGGAAAAGATGCTTAGAGATTGGTGTGTAGCATCCAGAGGCATACATCTAGAGTATATACATGTTCACACATTTGTATCTAGTGAAATCACCTGGCCGTAGGTGATAAGTTAAACCTTTGAGATTAAATCACTGACATGTTAAGAGGAGTTCTGCAGCATATATATACTGTTGGGAAAATTGTTGCATTTGGGTTGCTTTGGCTTGATGTTTCCCTTGGAATTGTGTCAGACTGGAGCCCAGTTGTGGTTGTGGCTTGTGGTTTGGTACAATGCGAAATGTCTGCGACACTTGCACAAACTAAGGAAAGCGATTTTCTAAGGATATGCAAGTTAGTGACTCGGATCACTTGAAAATAAGAAAAATCTTGCTTGTAAAATGGGGACTTTAATTTGTGGTATATACTTTTATTGGGAGTGGTCCATCTTTCCTCCCCCTTTCAAGCGCTAAACTTGTTTACTTCTCACTGTATTTCTTTTTCTAGCTTCTGTCCCAGATGCCTAATAATTGTAGAGCTTGAGCTGCTAAGTTGTCTTTTATCTTTTGTTTCTGTCTGAGAGTTTGTGACTGAGCTAAGAAGCCAACCCTGACTCCTTGGCCTGCAGGGATGTTCCATGCAAGGCTTTGTTCACAGGTTTGATCCACTTTCTCTCTCGGCCTTTGGCTGTAAAGTGTCTGGACTTTGCTACAACTAAAGCAGTCCTTATAGGAGGAGGTCACTTCCTGAGGTTATTTCTCACATCTTGAATGCTTGGGTGTGTTTAATAATTCCTCAGATATCATTGCAACATGGTAGGATAGCACTGATCAGAGACAGCCAAAGGTATGCTGTCAGGCACAGGTCACTGGTTTCAAAGGGCTTATTAGTGCTGGTTTTGCCCCACTGTATGAAAAAAAAAAAAAAGGAGTTTGTTACCTAGTGAGATCCAGCATTCTATTTGAAAATCACAGAAGACCAAGTTAAATTTTTTAGGGCTACTGAACAACTGTCAGGCAAATTTGAACGTAAGTGATTTTTCTGACATGTGCTGTAGTCTGGTTTCAGTCACCATCCACGTGTCATATACCTGCACAGGATAAAGGGACCCTTGGTCACGGTAATGCCAGAGGCTGCAGAAATCATAGTTCTCTGTTTTGGTCCTAACACTCTGGTTCTGCACCAGCAGGACAGCACATGGAGCACTGGAGTCTTGCTTAGATTTCATTTTGGGTCTGCCTTTCTATTTGGTGTGTGCATCTATCTGGAACTTGATATAGGTCTGGATAAAATTTGCGATAGCTTCAGTGCATTTATTGCTCTG